TTGTAAAAATTTTCGTCATATTATGCCACTTTGTCTATTCATGTCTACACTGTTTGGTTCATGGTTTAGGGGTTATAACCACTGTTCTGTTATTACAACTGGTTTCATGGTGTAGCGGTTATCACGTCTGCTTTACACGCAAAAGGCATTGAGTTCGATACGCAGTGAAACTAATTAATAATATCCGATTTATTTTTATAACAATTTCATAATTTTATGCCACTTTGTCTACTCATGTCTACACTGTTTGATTCATGGTTTAGGGGTTATAACCACTGTTTGTAATTCCTACTGGTGTCATGGTGTAGCGGTTATCACGTCTCCTTTACACGCAGAAGGCCCTGAGTTCGATCCTCAGTGAAACCAATTAATAATTTTCGATTTATTCTCGTAAAAGTTTTTGTCATTTTGTGCCACTTTGTCTATTCATGTATACACTGTTTGGTTCATGGTGTAGGGGTTATAACCACAGTTTTGCAATTTCAACTGGTGTCATGGTGTAGCGGTTATCACGTCTCCTTTACACGCAGAAGGTCCTGAATTCGATCCTCAGTGAAACCAATTAATAATTTTTAATTTATTCCCATAACAATTTTCATAATGTTATGCCACTATGCCAACTCATGTCTACACAGTTTAGTTTTGTGTGTAGGGTTATATCCACTGTTTTATAATTACAACTGGTTTCATGGTGTAGCGGTTATCACGTCTGCTTTATACCCAAAAGGCTCTGAGTTCGATCCTCAGTGAAACCAATTAATAATTTTTGATTTATTCTCAAAAAAAAATCATAAATTTATGCCACTATGCCAACTCGTGTCTCCACAGTTTAGTTTAGTATGTAAGGTTATATCCACTGTTTTATAATTCCAACTGGTTTTATGGTGCAGCAGTTATCACGTCTGCTTTACACGCAAAAGGCCCTGAGTTCAATCCTCAGTGAAACCAATTAATAATTTTTGATTTATTCCCATAACTATTTTCATAATTTTTTGCCACTATGCCAATTCGTGTCTACACAGTTTAGCTTAGGGTGTAGTGGTTCTAACCACTGTTTTATAATTACAACTGGTTTTATGATGTAGCGGTTATCACGTCTGCTTTACACGCAGAAGGCCCAACAATCCAATTCCGACGAATTGACGTGTCAGCCTGGGGCTACTGCAATCCGGTGTAATCCAGCGTGTAGCGCAGCATTTACCTACGATTTTTAGCTCTCGTGCTTCATTTATTAACGAACATTGTCACTGTAATACAATTTAGGTAATCTGCCGTCGTTTTCGCGACTACCCAGCCTGAACAGAAGTTCTGTTCAGGCTGGTAGTGAAGCCAAGATGGCCGCCATAGGAGCACGAACAAAAGGATCCAAAGAACATACAATAACATTGTGTGATGAGGGTTACTCTGCTATTGAGGTCATTGAGTCTGTTCAGCAGGCAACATCGGAGAGATCAATTCTAAGCTGTATGAATATTAATGGAACTTGGCAGCTGACAATGAAGTCTACCGTGAATATCGACTCGCTCTTCCAACAAGGTGTAACTCCTAGGGGCAATGAAATTGAGGTACGTGGTGTAACCAGACAGTTTACTACAGTATCATTTCTCAACGTTCCAATGTATATTGATGACGATGAAATTATAAAAAATTGACACAGTTTGGATCTATAATTCGTAGCCGTGTGATTCATAAATTCTACAGAGAAGCACCGACAATAGAAAATGGCATAAGATTTGTACGTGTCGAGTTCCCAACTGGTATTAAATCTCTACCATACGCTGTGAAATTCGAGGAGAATAGGCATTATGTCAAACTTATTCACAACAATCAAAGAAAAGTATGCAACAACTGGTGTAGCGGTTATCACGTCTGCTTTACACGCAAAAGACCCTGAGTTCGATCCTCAGTGAAACCAATTAACAATTTTTGATTTATTTTCGTCATTTTGTGCCACTTTGCCTATTCATGTCTACACCGTTTGGTTCATGGTTTAGGGGTTATAACCACTGTTTTGTTTTTCCAACTGGTTCCATGGTGTAGTGGTTATCACGTCGGCTTTACACGCAGAAGGCCCTGAGTTCGCTCCTCAGTGAAACCAATTAACAATTTTTGATTTATTTTCGTCATTTTGTCCCTCTTTATCTATCCATGTCTACACCGTTTGGTTCATGGTTTAGGGGTTATAACCACTGTTTTGTATTTCCAACTGGTTTCATGGTGCAGTGGTTATCACGTCTGCTTTACAGGCAGAAAGCCCTGAGTTCGATCCTCAGTGAAACCAATTAACAATTTTTGATTTATTTTCGTCATTTTGTGCCACTTTGTCTATTCATGTCTACACCGTTTGGTTCATGGTTTAGGGGTTATAACCACTGTTTTGTTTTTCCAACTGGTTCCATGGTGTTGTGGTTATCACGTCGGATTTACACGCAGAAGGCCCTGAGTTCGATCCTCACTAAAACCAATTAACAATTTTTGATTTATTTTCGTCATTTTGTCCCTCTTTGTCTATTCGTGTCTACACTGTTTGGTTCATGGTTTAGGGGTTATAACCACTGTTTTGTAATTCCAACTGGTTTCATGGTGTAGCGGTTACCACGTCTGCTTTACACGCAGAAGACCCTGAGTTCGATCCTCAGTGAAACCAATTAACAATTTTCGATTTATTCTGGTAACAATTTTCGTCATTTTGTGCCACTTTGTCTATTCATGTCTACACTGTTTGGCCCATGGTGTAGGGGTTATAACCATAGTTTTGTAATTCAACTAGTTTCATGGTGTAGTGGTTATCACGTCTGCTTTACACGCAGAAGGCCCTGAGTTCGATCCTCAGTGAAACCAATTAACAATTTTTGATTTATTTTCGTCATTTTGTGCCACTTTGTCTATTCATGTCTACACCGTTTGGTTCATGGTTTAGGGGTTATAACCCACTGTTTTGTTTTTCCAACTGGTTCCATGGTGTAGTGGTTATCACGTTGGCTTTACACGCAGAAGGCCTGAGTTCGCTCCTCAGTGAAACCAATTAACAATTTTGATTTATTCTCGTAGCAATTTTCACAATTTTATGCCACATTGCTAATTCGTGTCTGCACAGTTTAGTTCAGGGTGTAGTGGTTATAACCACTGTTTTGGAATTCCAACTGGTTTCATGGTGTAGCGGTTATCACGTCTGCTTTACAAGCAGAAGGCCCTGAGTTCGATCCTCAGTGAAACCAAGTAACAATTTCTGATTTATTCTCGTAGCAATTTTCACAATTTTATGCTATATTGCCAATTCCTGTCTGCACAGTTTAGTTCAGGGTGTAGTGGTTATAACCACTATTCTGTAATTCCAACTGGTTTCATGGTGTAGCGGTTATCACGTCTGCTTTACACGCAGAAGACCCTGAGTTCGATCCTCAGTGAAACCAATTAACAATTTTTGATTTATTTTCGTGATTTTGCGCCACTTTGTCTATCCATGTCTACACCGTTTGGTTCATGGTTTAGGGGTTATAACCACTGTTTTGTATTTCCAACTGGTTTCATGGTGCAGTGGTTATCACGTCTGCTTTACAGGCAGAAAGCCCTGAGTTCGATCCTCAGTGAAACCAATTAACAATTTTTGATTTATTTTCGTCATTTTGTGCCACTTTGTCTATTCATGTCTACACCGTTTGGTTCATGGTTTAGGGGTTATAACCACTGTTTTGTTTTTCCAACTGGTTCCATGGTGTAGTGGTTATCACGTCGGATTTACACGCAGAAGGCCCTGAGTTCGATCCTCACTGAAACCAATTAACAATTTTTGATTTATTTTCGTCATTTTGTCCCTCTTTGTCTATTCGTGTCTACACTGTTTGGTTCATGGTTTAGGGGTTATAACCACTGTTTTGTAATTCCAACTGGTTTCATGGTGTAGCGGTTATCACGTCTGCTTTACACGCAGAAGACCCTGAGTTCGATCCTCAGTGAAACCAATTAACAATTTTCGATTTATTCTGGTAACAATTTTCGTCATTTTGTGCCACTTTGTCTATTCATGTCTACACTGTTTGGCCCATGGTGTAGGGGTTATAACCATAGTTTTGTAATTCAACTGGTTTCATGGTGTAGTGGTTATCACGTCTGCTTTACACGCAGAAGGCCCTGAGTTCGATCCTCAGTGAAACCAATTAACAATTTTTGATTTATTTTCGTCATTTTGTGCCACTTTGCCTATTCATGTCTACACCGTTTGGTTCATGGTTTAGGGGTTATAACCACTGTTTTGTTTTTCCAACTGGTTCCATGGTGTAGTGGTTATCACGTCGGCTTTACACGCAGAAGGCCCTGAGTTCGCTCCTCAGTGAAACCAATTAACAATTTTTGATTTATTTTCGTCATTTTGTCCCTCTTTATCTATCCATGTCTACACCGTTTGGTTCATGATTTAGGGGTTATAACCACTGTTTTGTATTTCCAACTGGTTTCATGGTGCAGTGGTTATCACGTCTGCTTTACAGGCAGAAAGCCCTGAGTTCGATCCTCAGTGAAACCAATTAACAATTTTTGATTTATTTTCGTCATTTTGTGCCACTTTGTCTATTCATGTCTACACCGTTTGGTTCATGGTTTAGGGGTTATAACCACTGTTTTGTTTTTCCAACTGGTTCCATGGTGTTGTGGTTATCACGTCGGATTTACACGCAGAAGGCCCTGAGTTCGATCCTCACTAAAACCAATTAACAATTTTTGATTTATTTTCGTCATTTTGTGCCACTTTGTCTATTCATGTCTACACCGTTTGGTTCATGGTTTAGGGGTTATAACCACTGTTTTGTTTTTCCAACTGGTTCCATGGTGTTGTGGTTATCACGTCGGATTTACACGCAGAAGGCCCTGAGTTCGATCCTCACTAAAACCAATTAACAATTTTTGATTTATTTTCGTCATTTTGTGCCACTTTGTCTATTCATGTCTACACCGTTTGGTTCATGGTTTAGGGGTTATAACCACTGTTTTGTTTTTCCAACTGGTTCCATGGTGTTGTGGTTATCACGTCTGCTTTACACGCAGAAGACCCTGAGTTCGATCCTCAGTGAAACCAATTAACAATTTTCGATTTATTCTGGTAACAATTTTCGTCATTTTGTGCCACTTTGTCTATTCATGTCTACACTGTTTGGCCCATGGTGTAGGGGTTATAACCATAGTTTTGTAATTCAACTGGTTTCATGGTGTAGTGGTTATCACGTCTGCTTTACACGCAGAAGGCCCTGAGTTCGATCCTCAGTGAAACCAATTAACAATTTTTGATTTATTTTCGTCATTTTGTGCCACTTTGCCTATTCATGTCTACACCGTTTGGTTCATGGTTTAGGGGTTATAACCACTGTTTTGTTTTTCCAACTGGTTCCATGGTGTAGTGGTTATCACGTCGGCTTTACACGCAGAAGGCCCTGAGTTCGCTCCTCAGTGAAACCAATTAACAATTTTTGATTTATTTTCGTAGCAATTTTCACAATTTTATGCCACATTGCTAATTCGTGTCTGCACAGTTTAGTTCAGGGTGTAGTGTTTATAACCACTGTTTTGGA